ACCAAAATTGCAATATCATATAACGTTACATGTATATAACTTTAACATGTAAATTGCCTGGAATCCATCCGTGGACATTGTGTATCTCATCGCTGTGTATCAGTGAACGCACGATGTGTATCCGTGAACGCTGTCAAATGAATATAGCACTTTCCATGACATTGCCACGGGTCTCTGCCAGGCTCCCAGCAGAAGCTGCTGGAAAGAGTAACAAGCTATTTTATATAAACTGCACTCCTTAAACGGACCAACTCCTCCTCTGTCTATTTGGCCAATTTCTATGCTTTTCAGTCGCTTCTCAAGTCTGGTAGTGGCTTGTAAGTATGAAGACGAGAACAAAATTTTAAAAAAGAAGTATACTAAGACTGTTGATGATAATGCTTCACTACGGTATACTCCTTCGTGCCATTTACTTTTTAGGGACAGAAACATAATAGAAACCACTGTAAAACGTCCTTGTAGAAACGTAGGTTTACGGAAGGATCTGGAGGAAAGTCAAAGTGATGAATGGTGGTCGTTTTCAGCCTATATGCCACAGCTTATATCACAAGCAGTTTTCGGAAGTCCAAAAATATCATGACTGCGTCATACAAGCCCGTCGGTTTGAAAGGGTATTCAACTTCCTTGGTTCAGAGAAGTCGTTTAATACCTTTGGCTTGCCACCAATAAAATTCCTAGTCTGAGTGTCAGCTTTTCTAGCTTTCTTCTGCTCCCCAGGCTACAAAATTACATATATACACTTTCCCTTCCTGTTCAGTTCCAATCTGGAATGAGGTGGTTGTACAACTTGTACTACAACAAGGACAACCTAATAAATGATTTCCCTAATCTGCAAATCTCCAAGCAGATTCCTTCGGGGGCAGGGGACGATGAAATTGGCCACCCGACTCACCATTTGCCCCCCGTAATTGCGGCGTAGCCAATGGTCACAGACGGCCAATATATCAATATATCCCTTGCCCCCGAAAATCTGCTTGGAGATAAAGGAACAACCTACATCCCCAGTCGGTAGAAACATGACTGCGGTTCACTGGTCAGCACATTCTTATCGGGAACCGCGGGTAGTCAGCAGTTGTCATGGTAACATTCACGCTGAACGTGTCCGTACTTTGGAGGGACTGTTCGGTATATATAAATGATGGTGGTGTGGTGTGCCAGATACGACTGTCTCAATTGCTAGTACTGTGTGAAATCACAGACCTCTTTAATAATCAAAAGTTCACATAGTCAATGATAGTACATATCAATATATTCTAATAAGTGTTAAAATTTTGTTGATTAATACAGATACGGGTGTAGCAAACTTTAATCTGAATACTGGTACAGGACGGTTTGTACTAGTCTCCGGCGTGCTGGCAAATGGAGATTCTCAGCCGGCTACCTTCTCTGGCCAATCATATCCCCTTTTTGGGCCGATTTCTACGATTTATTCAGCCTGCAAAAGGAGTCTGGTGGAGACTACCCGAAGTCACCTTCCGGTCTGTCCGCGACTGTTGCCTCACGCTGACTTGCCAAAGTGGGCGGGACTACTTACGGCCCACTTCCGGTGCGTCACCGCCTCAAGTAGGCCTGCATCCGGTCCGTACGAACACCCGCCTGCGAAATCTCACTTCCTCATTTCACCCAGTAACCTCGGCTCGATCGGACCAGACAATCGGGTCAGCTGCCGTGGTGTGGTTTTTGCCTACTATCCAGTTACAAAGTTTGAACAAACAGCGGAATATGGGACCAGGACAGAGGTGAGTCCGTCTGCACTTGTCTAAACAACCTGTGGTGGGGTACGTACAGCAGCTTTGTGTCAAGACGGGCGGGAAAAGTTTTGGGTACAAGACGATAAATATCTGTAGACCCAAGCAAGTGAACCTCCTTGGCAGAACATGTCGAAGCTTGGTCGAAGAAAGCTTGTAAAACCACCGCCATTTTTCACTTGACATTTCCTAGGGACTACCACTACCATAGTCAAGGTACAGTGTAACAGAACTTCTTAAAACACAATTCAGTGGAGAAAGGTGGAACGTTCAAACGTAACCACTGTGACCCAGACGGTGCCTAAGTGGGGGGAGTATAAGTTACGTTTTCTAATTTGTCTCTGAAGTGTTGAACAAAATCCCCCATTGTGATAACACATTGTTGACGTAATCGACCCTTTGTGTTTCCTTGCTTGTGCTTTTCAAACACTGTAAAATTAATACGTGTATGAAGGGTTATATATGTGGGGAGTAACGAATGGTAAGTAAAGTCCTTGAACTGGTTACAGCCCATGAAGTGATGTCTAGCACTCTGTAAACTTGAAGTCTTAAATATTTGTGTTTCCTGTCGTTTCTGGCCAACATTCGGTTTCAATCGAAGAGTACCCTGTGTCTGACTGAGTAACACAAGTAACGAACATTGCGTAGTGCCAGACTATATATCCTTGTGGACCTTAGGCAAATAAGGGAAAGGTCAACAGGGGTCAAGTAAACTGTTCCCATGTGTCCCCTGTAGTGTCTGTGATAATATTGGTGGGAAGAAGGGGGGAGGTTACCAAAAGTGCTTACAGGGGGTGAACCGTTAACAGATGGTGAGGTGCTTTCAAACGAATAAAATAAATTCTAATGAAAAAAAAACACGATCGTTTTAGCCTTGATTTATCTGAGAAAGGTTGCAGCCAGGAGGTCCAGATGAGTTTTGGTTGCAGAAAGGAGGAGTTAATGAAACCGTTCTGCTGTTTCTTTTATTATTTCTTCTGATTTTGGTAATCAATTGCAATATATGTTGGTAGTAATCATGATACAGCGGCTGGTACATTTTTTCCATGTTTTTCTACACATAGAGTTTATCCATTTGTTTTCTAACGACTCCCCCCTGGGCCCCCGTGTAACGCTAATCGGTACTGTGGTAGTCTGGTAGTGTTTATGTATGTATGGACTGGGACGCTGTCAGTCCCAGAGGCGGGATGTTGTAACAGTTTTGCTTCTGTTTCCCATTCCGCTTTTAAAAAAACTGTGCCGATGGACCTTGTCAGTGGTTTTCCGGCCCGTGTGGACATTCGTTTTCTCCAAAAGAAAGGCAGAAAACAAGAAAGAACTTTCAAGTTAAAGAAGTCCCCTTTAGAATTGTAAAAACCGGAAGTGACAGAAGTTATCTAATGTCCCGCACAGTTGGCATGTACATGTACCGGTAAGGATACATACACCAGAATCCACCCTGGCCCTACTGTCCAATGAAAATGTAAACGGCAGACGACAGTAAAATTCGCGCCCATTTTTTTCGTGTCGTTTTTCGTTGCTTTGAGCAGCGCTTTCAAAATACGCAAGAATGCCCGTCGCAAGTGTCCCGTAAGTGTAAAAGCTTCAAATTGGCTTTACACGTAGTGATGTGGTAGTGACATACGATGTTGTGCGAAGTATTTGACCTGTCCCATTTGAAGACAAGTCAGTCAGCACCTTGAGATTCCAAATTCTGCATGGTCTGGATAGTTCGGAAGGTCCCAGAGGCGGGGATGTTGTGACAGCCTTGTTATTGTTCAGTCAGGCTGAAAGGTAAAGACCGGTTTTGTCTTATCGGCTGTCGATCTGTCCCTTCACTCCCTTGTCTGTTAATAAGACACAGACAAACATGAGATGTAGACTCTAGTATTATCGCCGGAGTTTCAGTGAAAATGGCAACACAGCGTATTCAAAACAAATCCAAACGTTACTCGACGAAATCGTAAGATCAAGGAGGTCCACTTAACAGTGAGAGCAGTTCAGATAATATGTTTATGCCACCCTACCCTAAAACCATTTCTGATTGAGCAGCTTTTGGCGCGGCCGTGCATTGTTTTTCCATCGGTGTCAGACACTGACAGACTGATTACAGAAACAGCACGAAAGGTGATGACCGTGCATTTCACGGTTCATTTTCCGATTATGGCACAGGAAGTCTTACAAGTTTCGTTATCGACAGTCCGTGTTTTAGAACGACTTTAGCTTCGACAGCGGAAATTTTAAATGGGAAAAGATGTCAAAAGAAGACATACTGCAATTTTATTCCGATATTGAAGTTAGAGATGCAATATTGTACTGGTAGAAGGACTAAATGTTTGTGTAGGGTGTAACTACACCAGCGACCTTTGACCTACAGATGTGTATATCTCAGGAAATGACCCATCGTCGGAGCTCGCCGTCAGACGTGACGAAGTTCCCGGGTCATGGTCACATTTTTCTGTCGGTCAGACATTTAAACTGTTAGTATCACTCAAAAGACGTACAAGTATGTACCAGTGCCGTCTAAACCGTATTATAACTACTCTACTCTACTCGACTCGACTCTACTCTACTCTACTCTACTCTACTCTACTCTACTCTACTCTACTCTACTCTACTCTACTCTACTCTACTCTACTCTACTCTACTCTACTCTACTCTACTCTACTCTACTCTACTCTACTCTACTCTACTCCTCTCTACTCTACTCTACCCTACCCTACTCTACTCTACTCTACTCTACTCTACTCTACTCTACTCTACTCTACTCTACTCTACTCTACTCTACTCTACTCTACTCTACTCTACTCTACTCTACTCTACTCTACTACTCGACTCGACTCGACTCGAATTATAAAATAAGTGAGGTCTTTATACAAACATATTAAGCCTTTGGCCTCCACTGCACTGTTATACACCTGTATTTCATTTATATTGTTTATGTATGTGTTATCTTTTAAGTGCGAATACATAAAAAGCAATCAAATCAAAGATTATGGTACAGATCGAGAATCAACATGTCGTTAAAAAACTGGATGATGGCTTAAAGTATATGTTAAACCACCGTAATGGTACATGTCATCCATCCGCCCATTCCATGACATAAACTGTGGCTTACCGCCAATATCCAGTACTTAACTCCCCATTAAAAGTGACGTCATGCTTCACTCACCACTGTGTGTACTAATATGGTAGCAGATCGTCAGGATCAGGAAGATTCCAGTAATCGTGTCGTGATCTCCGTCTTTTCTGACTGACGCGTTGGCTAAAATTTATCGGATGTGTAATCTCCAAGTAGATCTCTTGATGTCAATAGTTGCAGTTACCATTTGCCACCCATTTAACTGCCGAAAAAGAGATACCAGTACAAAAACAAGGCTCCCTAAAATCTCGATTTTTAGCCTCCTTGAATTGGTTAGTCGAAGTCTGGTGCGAATTGGACAGGTGATTCCTTTGGGCTATTCTCATTCGTAACGCAAAGCAGGACTAAGAACGCAAAGCAGGACTAAGGAAGTCCACACCCCGGTCTCCATCATACCGTATTTACTACATTTTACTACAAGATATGTTTTATTCCCGCACCTGTAGAAACTCCAGTTCGTATGTGCGGCTGCCGAACGCCGTGCTGTGTCTGATGCTGCTGCTGACCCTGTGTTTGGGGACCTTGGCGGAAGGTAAGGTTTAAAATCGTCACAATCTGTGTTTATAATATACTAGTAATTGGATAGACTAGCCTCCATAGCAGACGCCTCGGGTATTCGTAGTCTTTTTTTTTTTATACTTTACAGTTTTCTTACTGCTAAAGTTTTTCTGATGGTTCTAATACTGATTTTTTTTATTTCAATTACATCTACCGGCCTTGATAACACGGCATAAGTCGGAAACTAGACAGAACATGATCGGGAAAACATAATATCCCAAAGAGCCTGTTGAAATAAAAACACACGCGACACGATACTCCCTCCGGCCGGGGGAAGCCACAAGCCCCGATTTCAGATTTTGCACCCGGTGTCTGGTTTATTTCTCGCGCTGGGATAGGGTGCCAACATCAATGATCAAGAGCGTGACTTGTAAGGCAGAGACCGTCGACGGGATCAGGGAATTTTCTTTCTCTAGTTTAAGCACCGAGGTCTGGCACCCAGGCTAGGCTATGGAGGACCTTGGCAGACCGCGTGTTAGCGTCACGACCTCCCGCCACGGAAGTGCGGCCTGCACCGTGCAGCTGGGAGATAAGGTCGTCTGGCTCAGCAGGAGAGCAGCGACGTACAGAGTCTTGATCAGTGTTCTGCTGGACTTCAAACACTGATCATCGGGGAAATAAAGAACAAAATCGTTACAATAAACTTTCACCATCTTGTCGATGTAAGTCAGCCTTCACATGCCACTTGGTCTCAAGTTCCACCTTACTGACTTGGACTGTGAATATAAAGAAGAATGTGAAATATTGTACTAATTTGTAGTAGCCTGTTTTATGATACTAGGCTCTACGACTGACCTTTTCGGGGAGTCTTCATATATATATATATTTTTTATTCTGTCTGACATAACATGATTTGTACCGGGCCGGGGTTCTTTTGCCGGCTAGGTTGAACCACGACGCATATTCATTTTGCTTTATTCTTAATATATTTGCATGTTTATAAACATCTAGGATGACATTATATCCATGTTATTATAGCTAAGCACGTTTAAACCTTGGCCCTTGCGTGTGATAGCAGTGACGGAAGTTGTGCCGTAGCGCTTACTGATAGCATAACAGGAAGGTGTGTCGGAGGTTGTGCAAGATGCATGGCAAAAAAATAGCGTTTTTTTCACGGCCTGTTCTGTAAGAAAATGCAGCAGAATGTATACTGGGAGACGAGACGATCGCGTGAATAGAACAAAGGATGAAGAAATGTTTCGTTTAGAAATGTGACAAACAACGAGCATGATGCTGATATGTATGCATCAAAGCAATTCCTTAAATACGTGATGTAAGCCTGGTTATTGCGTCCGGCCATGTACAAATGTAGCCTTGACGCGCTGTGACAGTTTCACCGTCTTTATCTGTCTCGGAAATCCGACACCGCCCGGAGAGAAATCCGACTTATCAGTCTGTGTGTAATCTTCAAGGGGATCTTTTGGTGGCTGCAAAGAGAGTATCAAATTGGACAGGCAGTATCTATTTGCCAGGCAGTTAGTTAAGTTACCATTTGAGAACCCAAGCTGGAGTAAAAACCAGTACCGAAAGGAAAGCCTGCCAAAAATTAGACAATGTCTAAACCTCAGCTTGCAGGATCATCTGTGTAATCTCCCGAAACTTTCCTTCCTCCACAAGATAGACTGTACCATCTGTGTTTCGTGGTAGAGCTTTATAATCTCTACACTTGTTGAGAGGAGAAAGTCGCAACGATTTTATACTCCACACTCCTTGCAACTCCGCACTCACAAATATCCAAGTGTAAATTTACAAATGATTCGACTTTTTTGTCTTTACAAAGGCGATGACGTATGTTCGAAGAACAGCCCAGCTTCATGTGGAGAATGTCTTCTGCGAGGTCCGCAGTGTGCGTGGTGTGCAGAAGAGGTATTTTGAAATTGTTTGCTTTATTTTGCTTTATTCATGATGTTTTTGCCTTTATAAACGTTCTGTCAGCTTTCTTTGGATAAATACAGGGCTCTCCATAGGACCATACTATTTGAGTGTAGTTGACGTTGTTATGATCATAATCATCATCGTTATCAATAACATTCTTTGGTCAATATTTTTCTCAGTCATACATTGAAGGGTCAGCATCAAGATGTGACATCATCTCGAGATTACAGGAGAACGGATGTGCAGCCAGTCAGATACAAAATCCTAGCAGTGAAACAGTTATTGCTCAGGTGCGTTTGTTTGTCATCACACTTACAACCAGCATGTAAAAACTACCTCGTGTGTTTGTTCTATAATCTACATGTAAATGATACAGACAGCTTATATGCATACAGCAGCGATGACGGTATTGTTAGTAGTCGCACTAGTATCGATGTACGGTAATTTGACCTTGCGTACGTCGTACGTCTAGATTAATGGGTGAAAGTTGCTGGAGGTGAAGCAACGTTTGAAAACAAGATTTACAGTCAAAGTGCAGCAAGAAAGGAGACAAAAACCAGACACAATGACACCACAGCTGTTCAGTCAACACGTATGCAAAAGGTCACATTTATGCCGTGACATGTGCCTAAAACCTAGACTAGAGGAGATTTGTCTTTTCCCCCTACTGGTGGTTTGTTTGCACGGCGTTAATGTTTACTCGTTTGACACAGGGTCGCCCGCTCAGTTCCACAGGGAGCCAGACTGGCAGTGACGTCACACAGGTGTCACCACAGGAAGTCCGTCTCAGTTTACGGCCAGGTGAGTAGCCGAGAATTCCCTTATATGGGCGTGCGCCACCCTGCGGATCGGCTTCCGCACATGCCCTGTGATAGCCGAGTTTTACCTTATATGGAAATCGTCGGTAACTATTTCGATACTGCCACAGAATAACACCGGAAGTCTCACTGCGACCTATGAGGATGAATATAATCGGAATAGAATAATGACACAAACTAATCCAAAGGAAAGACGCCCATGTATCCTCATCCTAGGACAATCGAAATTAGATCAGCTTTACCCTAGCCTTATACGGAGTTAACTTCAACTGACTATTATTTGAACTCTAATAGCCCTTCGACGCCCACCGCTTCCACAACAGAAAAGCGATAACAGCCGGGAAGCACGCCTGGAATGTAAATTGGAACATAGCCACTACCAAAACATACAAATATACAGCCTGATAAGAGTTCTTGGTATGTCGTACCAGATATTAGGTTACTACTTACACTGTGACCCCATTCTTACCAGACTTCTCCAGAATTCATTAGCTCTGTACAATGTCCTTGATTAGCTAAAGCCTCTTGCGTTCATACATAACCAGTTTTGTCGGCGAAATCCTGCCCGAAATCATATCCAACATTTGGCATGGGTATAAAACGATATGCATGATATCAAACGCTGTGTTGTTTGGTGCCGTACGTGATGATTTGCCTGTAGTAACATTTCCTGATGAATAAAGTCACAGCTGCCATTTTCACAAGTACTAGCTCTTGAAAATATTTCGTCCGATGACAGGAATGGCGTGGACCAAATACAAACACACGACAAAAGCACTATTCTGCCAGTTGTAGTTGCACTGTTTTATTTGCTAACTGCAAATGGGTTACCCTGTTGAAACTGAGGTACGGGTCGGCCGCTAGGAGCGCGATTTAGTCATCGGTTGGTCATGGACGCCTTGGCCCACCAGGTGCTTTCCATTATACCACATTATGATAATCACCTCCCCAGATCTCGAATGTTTCGTTAATATTTTTGCCTTAGATTAAATAAAAAAGTTGATCATAAGTTCTTACGTTTTATCTCCGTCAGGTGACAGTGCGCAGGTGCAGATGCAGGTGCGGCAGGTGAAGGACTACCCAGTGGACCTGTACTACCTCATGGACCTGTCCAAGTCTATGGACAACGACTTGCAGAATCTCAAGACGCTAGGAGTCAATCTCAGTAAGAACTTCATTCATAAACACTTAATGTAACCTTAGATTGGACAGCTATTGATTCTTCTCAATATTTTTTCACTTTATATACCCAAAGTTGTGATTAATATTACTTGACAATAAGATATTTGAACAATTCTTTTTATCGTTACAGTTAACAAGATGAGAAACATTACCAGTAACTTCCGGGTTGGATTCGGGTCCTTTGTTGACAAGACGGTGGCACCGTACGTGAACTTGGCTCCTGGGAAGTAAGTACAATCCTCTCTTATGATTTGTCTTTTTTCTCGAATTTTACTATTGTCGTGAACAGAACGGACAAGTGACGTTAATAACGCAGAGTCTGCCACTTGCATGTTGTTTCCAAGCTGAGCAAAGCGAGTCAAAAGGTGTCAATGCGAACCTCTCTAAGGTTCTTGTGTTCAAAATGGGAAATGAAAGTCATCGCCCTTGAAGTTTTGCCAGGAAAATTTGTGGGCCCGGTCACATTTATCGAGAGGGTAGCAATAACAAACTAAGGGCATTCTCAGCATAACAGTGGGGGAGACGCTTACTTAACTTTCAGCTGCATTTGGAGAGAAAATGTTCTCACCGGCCGTGTCGATGACTCGATCGTTTCTGCCATAGCCTCTTTGATATTTTGAAGAATATAGCCTTTTCGACAAAAGTATTATCCGCCCTAACATGTCCCACATTCTCCACTCCCCAGACTGACCGAGCCGTGCGGCGGATGTGCGCCCGTGTTCGGGTTCAGGAACGTCCTGTCGCTGACGGACCAGGCGGAGAAGTTCAGCACAGAGCTGGCGCAGCAGCAGGTGTCCGGCAACCTGGACCAGCCTGAGGGCGGGTTCGATGCGCTCATGCAGACCGCTGTCTGCAACGTAAGTCACTTACTGTGATTGTGCCCTCTGTGTAATACAACACTGACATACGTGATACAATATAGTTCCTGAAAACGTCAAACATGATAGGTTGTTTGTACCAAAAAAAGTACACTCTTCTGAGCATTCTATGACAAGTTACTAGTATCAATGTTTGCTTTATTTTTTATGTATAATCATCGACACATCTATGCATATGCACTTCCAGGATGAAATAGGCTGGCGAGAGAAGGCCACAAAGCTGATCGTGTTCGCCAGTGACGCGCCCTTCCACTCGGCCGGGGACGGGAAGCTGGGCGGCATCCTGACGCCAAACGACGCCAAGTGCCACCTGGACTCTTCAGGCACCTACACCGAGCTCAACAACCTGGTGAGCAACGCTGACTCCTGCTAGTCTCCACCAGACAAACGTTCAAAACAGTAAAATTACCCTACCTGTGGACCCACTCCCCTGCCCCGTGATAGGAAGGCCTGATGGAGGCTAGACCCCTGCTAGCCTGTATTGCATTTGCCACTTGTCCATTGCGTTGTAACTTGTCCGAATACTAAAGTTATCGGGACACTGGCTGTTGATCAGTTACTAAGTAATGGTCTCTGATTGCTATCGTGCCCTAACGGCTCCCGTTTCAGCCAAGCGCCTCCGTACATCTGTAATTTGATCTCTCTAATAGATACCGAACATGGTCTACTTATAGATCTACAACATTAAAAATTTTGGAACATCCTGGTTCAATCATTATTAAGATCCATTGTCATATGACCATCTCCGTCGTTATACTTTTTTCATCAGCGTAAATAACTGCTGATGCTTCTGGACACTTTGACAAGGGTTCAATTCCCAACATTGACAACTGAAATCTACTACACACCGAGCTGCTTTTCTCTGCTCTCCATAGAGCTCTCGCGCTGCTGTTTGTTGATGAGTTTGTTTTTCCCACGTGTTGTCAGGATTACCCGTCAGTAGGCCAGCTGATTGCCGTCCTTGAGGAGCGGAACATACAGCCCATTTTTGCAGTGACTGGGGAACAGATCGACATCTACAGGGTAAGCAGATATGACATGTTCATTTGTTTAACGTGCAATGAATATTCCATTGGTCCTTGGTGCTTACGTTGTACTTAACTCGTTGTGTGACATTGTGGGTTTGCATGTCTGTAGGGGCTGGCAGATATGTTTTCCGGTGCCATCGCAGAAACTCTTGCTGAAGATTCTTCCAACGTGGTTTACTTGGTGGAGGACGCCTACAAGGTAAAGATTACGGTTGTCTTTGAAAAGTTGCTGTAAACTGTCGAAATATTAAAGATTCACTATTGTGTACTATGCCACTGCCATTCGAATGTTTCTGAATGTCGGGAATGGCTGTTGTAACTTGTATCTTGATCAGATGTGGATATGTTACTGCAAATGGACTTAAGAAGAATTATTTGAAAGGAAAAAATGCTCTTTCTGCCTATAGAAACTCCGTTCCGAGGTGAGAATGCAGGCCCCCAACGTGCCGGAAGGGATCGAGCTGCAGTTCACGGCTCTCTGCCTGGACAACCAGGTGATAGAGGGCGCTGCTGAGTGCAAGAACCTGGCTGTCGGAGACACCGTCGCCTTCAACATCACAGTCAAGTTAGCCGAATGTCCGCAAGGTGGCGGCGACCTGCAGTTCTCGCTGAACCCGGTAGGATTCGGAGATGAGATGACGATCAAGGTGACGACAATGTGCTCCTGCGACTGCGAGGTGGACGCGGTAAGCCATGGCGTCACTAAAGACGATTCTTGTCAGACTTGAGTGTGTTCCTGTAACTTTTAATCAGCCAATTCCTTTCTCATTTCATCTTCCTTCACTCTTGCGGCCGTTCATTTTTGTACATTTTCCACACTCCAGATCCCGGACAGCGACCAATGTTCCGCCGGTAACGGGACCCTGGAGTGCGGCGTCTGCGTTTGCAACACGGGCAGGTAATGTATACTTTGAGAATCCGTGTATTATACGTCTCATATGCAGATGGGTCATCCAGGCCGCCAGGGAGGATAGAAAGGTCATTGCAGACAATAGCAGATCCAAGTAAAAATAGACTAGAAATCTTCCCAAGAAAAGAAAAAGATTCTAACAATGTAGTCACATGAAAAAGGAAAACAATGGAAGCGGAGCAATATTTGCCTGTTTTTGTTATAAATTTTTAGCCCACACCCTGATGCATTTATTTGACTTGACGACCTATCGTTCCCAAGGTACGGCCAGACGTGTGAGTGTAACGCCGACAGTGTAGAAGCCGTGGATGAGACCAAGTGCCGGATGGACAACGCGACGGCCGTGTGCTCGAGCCGAGGTGACTGCCTGTGCGGCCAGTGTACGTGCTCGCCTCGACAGGACCCGCGAGAGAAGGTCTGGGGCAAGTTCTGCGAGTGTGACAACTTCTCCTGCCTCAGGCACGATAGGCTCATCTGTGGAGGTAGGTGTCTGAGCCGGGAAGCTGAAAACAGAAAGAGAGATACAAAAAAAGAACGCTCATGCAAGTTGGAACGGAGCATTCTATCACTGAATTTCGCTGTCCGTATATAACAAGAAATTTGTTAAGGGTACTATCGCATTCGTGTCCTAATCCAACATTCAGACTTACTCCATCAAAACGTTTGTGAAAATCAATGTATTTGCACGAGTATTGAGCTATATGGCTTCCTTCAGATGTTATGTTTTCTCGTTCCTACCATTTTTATATGTGTTCTATCTATCGGTTTTTAGGCCGTGGCACATGTGACTGCGGGCAGTGCGTGTGCGAGTCGGGCTGGACGGGCGAGGCATGCGAGTGTTCCGCCCGCACGGACGCCTGCATCGCCGAGAACGGGGAGGTCTGCAACGGTCACGGCACCTGCGAATGCGGAAAGTGCAAATGTGAAGATAATTTCGCCGGTCCGACTTGCGAGGAATGCCCGGTACGTGAATGGCTCTATAGATTGGTACTGTGTGTCGACAGCTTGCATAACACCTTTCAACCTAATTAATCTACCATACACGTTTGAGACTCAATTGACAAAAGTCGACAAGTAGACTGAAAAATAGAAAGAAGGTCAAATAAAAAGTAGGAGATATGATGGAGAGAACAAAGTATTTTCCCATTTCCGCTATGGTCGCAATTTCGGCGCCACCTCATGATTTCGGACGACACTGAAACTTACACCTGCGGCATCTAGTTCTTTTCTGTATCGGTACTGTGTATTCTGCGTCTCATTTTGCACATGTTAACCTGTGTTGTACAGACCTGTCCTGGAAAGTGCGAAGGGAACAAAGGCTGTGTGCAGTGTCAGGCCTTCCAGTCCGGAGACGTGGCAGACCAGGAGTGTCTGCAGTGTCCCTTCAACGTCACCATGGTGGACAGTGTGGACGTTGTCGGTAAGAAATGTTTTGTCAAAACTTTGTGTAGGACACGGCAGAAAGGAAGAACAAGGTTACAATAAAGTTGATTTCCCACTCAAGCTATCGAAACGGTTGGGTAATTTGTGGGTAGTACAAATGTGGGTGTATGTGTACAGTAAAGGTACTTGTGTAAGTTGTGCATCTTGCACTACGTTAAGAGCAGCAATTTTCATGTCTTCCTTAATAACGTATCGTTGCGGCTCTACTCGACAGTGGATGATCCGGAGATCCAGTTGTGCCGTTTCCGTGATGACGACGACTGTTTGTTCACCTTCTCTTACGGCAAGGGTGACGACAACACACTGGTGGTCAACGTACAGAGGACCAAAGGTGCAAATAGCAGTTTGTATATGTCGGGAATATTTTTCTAACCACAAGGACATTTTCTAACAGACCTTCAATCTTTGATCACAAATTAGAGATAGTGCTATCACTGCTTGCTACGATTCGAGAATAGTCAAATGTTGTGATAGCTGGTGATAGTTGGTGATGCTCATTAATGTATCTAAAGAAATGGCAGAGAACACAAAAAGAAAGACTCATGTACATGTATCGATTTTTTCTCCAGAATGCCCTCCGGATGTCAATATCCTTCCCATCATCCTCGGCATCGTGGCAGGGATCGTTCTGATTGGTCTAGCCCTGCTGATCATTTGGCGGGTACTGATCTATCTGTACGACAGGAATGAGTATCAGAGGTTCGAAAGAGAGCAGCAAAAGACAAAGTTTTCGTCGGTATGTATCGAAACTAAAATCCTTTTTCCTATTTTGTACATGTTCTTTAAAATGGAAAGGCCGCACAACTTCGAAAATGTACTTTAGATACAGTGAATGCTGGCTCCGAGCCAGCTGTCGGGACCTAACTTCCTGTTTCTGACCTTGTAGAGAAGTCTATAGAAAAGTAATTCTCCCACCACGTGATGCCTCTCAACTGTACGAACACACTAGCGAATACACAAAGTAACACACCCAAAACAATGCATCCGTTTTCACGGAGATGATGAAACTAACTGCTTGGCTTTACTCACTGCATTCCGTGCCCTCTTACAGGACATCAACCCACTATACCGGGAGACCACAACGAAGTTCCTGAACCCCACATATGGCGGGAACAAGTGATCTTCAAGTTGCCTCCTCAGTGTTGTTCCTGTTAAGTATAAGCTCTAGTCACAGGGTGCTACATTACATGACATGACATCAACTCCAAAGCATGGAGGAAACAGAATGGAAATATTACAGATTAATCTTGACAACTTTGTTAAGTGCCTTTCGAAACATCATGATCAGAATTTTGCATTCATTGACAATACGTCCCATTGAGTGGACTCTTTGGCAGGGGTTCACTTCTCGATTATTGTATATCTACTAATATATATGTTCATCACGAATTGTCAATAATCTGACAGAGTCCTGTAAACTTCAGTAATTTGATTGTGTTTTATTTTCTTAATTACTTTATACAATCCCACCTTGCGCTGTGTCCATCAAATTGACGGATTTGCAGCGTCACCAATTTGATAATCAATTGTAAATATTACAGACATTATAGAACTATATTGTATATATGCTTCAGGTTTATATGTGTCCATTTTGAGACTTACGACTAACTCGTATTGCTTATAAAGCGACATTCCAAGGCTAAATGCAGACATAACCTAGTGCCAGGGTATAAACTGTGTGTATGCTATTTATTTTTTCACAGTTGTAGTGAGTAGTTTGAACTGGTTTAACATCTAGTCTTATTTAGCGATTAATCTGTTGTGTTGATTTTCTGCAAAGGTAATCTTAGATTAATATGTTGTTTACATATAGACACATGATGTAGGTAAAACATACAACTTATTCCGCGCACAACGTTGAAAACTGTGAGCTACCATTCTAAACAGAACAACATAGATACGTATAGAAAACACCGCTAAAATATGATTTATTTAGACTGTGCTGTGAATTTTATTTTACACTATACACTCTTGATAGTTAAAGTATACTAGTACGTTCTTTTTACATGAAATGCTTCGTCTTGGAATTATCTATATTTCACAACAGCAACGTGTTTATCATTTGTTCACAGACTAATCTTATGCTGACATGCTGACAACACTTTATATTTGTACGTGCAATATGCAGAGAATTAAAACATATGTTCTACATGATGTCTACTTTGTGTTCCCTGTTACACGGGACTTTTGCTAAATCAAGCAAAGTTCCTCTTTCCAATAGCGTACTGTATACACAGTGGTTTAACAACCCACTGGCTCTACGACCTCAAAAAGGCCATGGGAATCTATTCAAGTAAGGACCATATTTGTACAATCAAAGAGAAACGTTTATGCAACAAACCTTGACTAGAAAAAGGATGATTTATCAATCGTAAAGGTAAACATCATCAAGCAAAGGTCTTAATGATGAACTCTAGTTTAATTTGATAATCACACTTCTTTCCGATCATGACTTAGGAGGAAATACAGAAAAGCTGCAACAATGAGCACAACAAACACCACGGGAATGGTCCATTCCAAACGACACTCCTGCCTGCCATTAGTCGACTCGTGTCCATGGTAACCCGCGGAGAGACCGCACTGTGCGCATGTGTCAGAAGAGGACGAACGAGGTCTGTGGGGTGTACCATGTAGGACAAGTGGTCTCCTTTCGTAGTCCTCCTCAAGTTTTATTGCCACGGCAGACATGGCGGACGGGCTGAAAGAAGAAGTCGACGATTTTTTTATTGAAACATAATGACAAGACGTGGTGGCGACACACTCGAGTTGCACTTATATTCATGTCGCCACCAGACTAAACGTAATACAAGCAAGCAAAGCGCGAGTTAGATACAATCAATCTATAAACTAGTGAAACACATACGTCGGCGATTTCAGTACTTTTTTATTATCTTCGACAAGAAAGTTATTTTTTTTTATAAATTTTTTGGTGCACGTGCGTGTGTTTGTGTGTATGTTAGTGCATGCACCGTGAACAGCATAACTTGAGAAATCGTGAATGAATCCTATTGATAGTATTGTTTTTGACAAAACTGAAAGCGATCAGATTCGGGGACCCCTTCCTATTTTGCATGTATTGTGATAAAACTAATCTGCTAGAATTCAAAACGTCATGTTACGTCTTCCCAAGCTCAAAAGCTATCTATCATACCATACCATAGCATGTCTGGGGCACGAGATATCAAAACCGGATGTTATGCAGCACTACCACATTAGGGAGCCCCAAATCATTTTGAGGTCTCATCAAGACCTCCCCACATACCAAATATCATTACAGTCCATCTATATGGTTTTTAGAGTTATACTGTACAGAGACAGGTAAACATACAGACACATACATACATACGAACATGTTAAAACGGAAGTTGCAGCCTTGATGTTTTCCCACATAGACTGTTTCGTGTTCCAACAGTTCCGCTTTTTCCCATACGAGCGCGTACTGTTCAACCGACGATTGTACCAGTACCAATGTTTCTCTATATATGTAACGTTGCATAGTAGTTTTTCGTCAGAATTTAAACATAACGCTAGCCAGCAGCTCACAGCCTACCACCAGGTACCTACCTGTTCCAGGGTCGGTTTCACGTCGCTGCGGTACCGGTGCTTTATAGTAAACTGATCTGTTGGGAAAGCGCAGAGACCACGTTCCGATATGTAATTCCACTGCTTCAGTGAGGCGCAGTACAGTTGGACAGACAGTACTGATAGAAGATGATGCACTTTGTAGGAAGAGTGGAAGCTGCGAACTCAAACTGCAGCGACAAGTCGGTGCCAGCATATGTAGGTTCTCTTGACTCCCGGAACTTAAAGCCAAAATCCAATACAAGAAAGGGAAGTTCCCATTTCATTGGACCGTTCCATTCTAACATTTTGGCGGGGCCAGAAATATGCTTCAAACGGACTCTTTCTCCTCAGCTACATGTAATCTCCTCCCTACTCAGATCTTTTAATGTAAAATAAATGGTAGAAAATGGCAAGTAGGAAAATATTTGAAGTATTCAATGTGTGTGTGTAGGGGGGGGGGTCCATCTGCGTGTGTGCTTGTGTGTGTGCGTTAATGTGTGTGTTCGTATGTGTGTTCGTGTGTGTGTGTGTGTTCGTGTGTGTGTGTGTCCGTGTGTGTGTGTGTGTGTGTGTGTGTGTGTATGTTCGTGAGTGTGTTTATGTAATTTATTAATCTTTCAAACATATGGGTAGTCCCCTTAGCCGTTGAAGGCTGATCTGTGTCCGCGCGCGCGTGTGTGTGTGCGTGTGTGTGCGTGCGTGTGTGTGTGTGTGTGTTTGAAGCTCATTCTAATTGAAACAGCTGAGTCAGGGAGGCCAAGAGTCGACACTTCGGTTCATACATGCCAAGACAATTCAGAGATTTAAGTTGAAGAAAAAGCCAACGTGTTTAATCTGTCGATTCAGACGCGATTGCAATTTTTATTAACGACCCTACTATTAATGATTTATGTTGTAAACAAGCATCGAAATTCAGCCATGTACATGTTCGAGTCTTTCTTTCTTCCTCCTCCCCCCCCTCTCTCCCTCCCCCCGCCATTAGACGTCCCACCATGGTACCGTCCCGGTCTGTTTGCTCACCTGTGTCACTGGGCGAAGGTCGCTCTGATCACCTTTCCTACTATTTTGGGAAAATCACGTGCACACGTCAGCTTTCAAGTGTTAGAGCATTCTAGTACACAGCATAGGACTCTCTGACAAGTTCATGGGCTTACTCCTGATTTTTTTACTCTATTGGTACAGGTGAAAAATTTAACATGTAACATGTTTTTATTTCTGTACAAAGGGGGATTATTATTAGAGGTCTACTTGTAATCTACACCTCCCAAAGAAAGGAATGTTGTGTCAACAAAAGTTTGCCCTTTGCCCTGGAAGTTATAAAAGCACACTGAAGTCAGTCTTGCTCGGCCAAAATGGACAGGAGTTACTACCATAGCCGTGCTGATCAGCCGTTCCTGGACGACACGTTTGGTCAGCTGCTGGACAAGGCGGCTGTCCGCTGGCCGGACCGAGAGGCGTACGTCTTCCGGCCAGGCGGAAGGAGGGTCACCTTTACCGAGCTGAAAGTTCAGGTACGTCAGTTCAGGTACGGGTACAGGTACGGTACCCTGACGGTTCTCCCGTCTTATCACAAGACGACATTGCTTGAGGTATAAATGTATTACAGCGAAGAATAGGATTTTAAAGAAGACTTCATCGCGAGGAAAAGTAAACATGGCGGTTCCTTTCTCTGTTGGATTGTTCAGTTCGGTTATATTCTGACAACCTTACCTAGCCTGCCGAAGAAACCGGTTGGGCTTGTCTTTGTTGCATGAGCATGACTGCTGTTGTGCCCCGGTTACATATGTACATGTAGTGCTTTTACGCTCTGTCGAAAGTCGCATTCAACAGAAATGTTGTGTTATGTGGTAAAGGCTAAGGATGATTTGTTTGAGAGGCGTTGGCTACAGGTGACAGTTGAATGGTGTAAGCACAATATATGAATAGCTCTTCCTGACCGTGACAGGACACCAAAACCTGCTGGTGGACTTTACCTTGACACAGTCCCAGCTCTCTGTAACGATACATGAAAGCGATATATCTTGTGTGACCGGTACAGACGCTGCTAGTCAAAAATACTTATTGCGAGCAGAAAGTCGAGTCCTGACCTAACATTTCGAGGGTCACTCACAAAAATCTCTTTTATGATTTGTAGAAACTTACGAAACAATAGATCTCAGAAAGGGGATAGGACATAGCAGCTGTTATCAATATAAATATGAATAATCATATTCTATGCAATTTTATAAAAAAATGTGCCAGCGATAAGACGATTCCAAAAAGTTTGTCTTGTGACCTACAGACCATCATGTGACTGAAGCAGGTGACTTTTGTAAATATTTAACGTAGAATCAAGTTTACGTAACGTAATTCAAAATAACCAATCTATCCCGGTAGTGTCCAAATCCAAGGAGGTTTCCGTCTGAGCCTTGACAAATCACAAGGGTTTGGATCTATCAGTGGATCTCTCTTTGGATCTCTCACTCTAGAGGAATGCGTTTGGATTCTTGTCGAAATTACTTTGTCCTGATGTCAATACCTTTGTCAGGATTCGCTCCTGTCACACATAGCCACGTTTGCAATGTTGTCTGTGGTTGTCAATTGTACGTGGACCGGTGCCAAATGCCAGATCTTTTCAAAAGTCATGAGAGGTCGGAAGATCGTATATTGGTTGGGATGACGTACTGACGTTCTGAGACACGCACGGCTGTTTTCCTTACCTACCCCAGGGCCTGGATCACCGTCCATGATCCAGGCCCTGAGACGAATTTGTTTGGCAATATGTAATCACGAGCAGGCGTAGGGGGTGGCGAACTAAAAAGAAAGCGATATTATATGTATAATTAGCACAGAATGCGTTAAAACATGAAAAACAACCTACTAACACAACAAGCATGAAGCCAGACCACCTGACCGTTCTTGAGTTATTTTGGTA